TGATTAGAGTAAATAGTAACCATGAATTCACTAACCCACAACTGTTTGCCTAAGCACTACTTCAGGGATAGAGCCTCTCTTTTTAAATCTTGTTTTCAGTATATAGTGAACTGTCACTTACACTGAACTATCAGAAAAAGAAGCCCCTCAAACAATATTTTGAAAAATAATAGTATTTTAAAGCTTGTAACTAGCTGTTGCCTCATGTTTTCTGAAGATTCTACTACGTACTGTGTAATATATGATAAAATGCATCATGACCCCTAAGGCACCTTTCATATTTGTAATTTGTATGTGTGTGTGTGAGAGAGACATATTTTCTGAGCATCTGGAAATAAAAAGATATAGTAAGTACATATTATAATAAAAGTAAAATTATATATGATAAAATAAAAAGATAATAAAACGGTCTTTGGGGTGTGTATGTTGAATGGGTTGTGTGGGTAGAAGGACAGTATGTGGAAGGGATAATATAGGTATGTAAACAAATATTTATGATGAAAATTGAAGAGTGCCAAAATGAGAGTATATCCATCCATTAATTTCTTGGGGGCAAGGCCCTGATCATTTTATACATTCATTATTTTACTTCCGTGGCTCAGCACAGTGCCAGGCACACAGTGAGAGTTTAATAAATACTTGTTGAATGTATCTGTGTAAGCACAAAATGCTGTGGGAACATACAAGGAAGGCTTGACATTCTGATAATCACTGAAGTGGGTGGATTAGTACGTGAAGGTGTCAGGGTGGATGGAAGTTTATATCAGAGACTGCTAATTATTCCCCAGTATCCTTTCTCTCCTTCTTCTATAATACTGTTGTTGTTGTTATTAGGTGCCATTGAGTTGGTTCCGACTCATAGCGACCTTATGTACAACAGAATGAAACACTGCGGTCCTGTGCCACCATCATGATTATTGTTATGCTTGAGCCCATTGTTGCAGCCACTGTGTCAGTCCATCTCATTGAGGGTCTTCCTCTTTTTTGCTGAGTGTCTACTTTTCCAAGCATGATGTCCTTCTCCAGGGACTGACCCCTTCTGACAACGTGTCCAAAGTATGCAAGACGTAGTTTGGCCATCCTTGCTTCTAAGGAGCATTCTAGCTGTACTTCTTCCAAGACAGATTTGTTCATTCTTTTGGTATATTCAATAATCTTCACCAACACCATGATTCAAAGTCATTAATTCTTCTTTGGTTTTCCTTATTCATTGTCCAGCTTTCGCAAGCATATGAGACAATTGAAAACACCATGGCTTGGGTCAGGCGCACCTTAGTCCTTAAAGTGGCATCTTTGCTTTTTAACACTTTAAAGAGGTCTTTTGCAGCTGATTTGCCCAATGCATCGTTTGAATTCTTGACTGCTGCTTCCACTGGTGTTGATTGTGGATCCAAGTAAAATGAAATCCTTGACAACTTCAATCTTTTCTCCATTTATCATGATGTTGCTTATTGGTCCAGTTGTAAGG